CCTCCACTGACCCCAAATGACAAGTAAGCAGAGTCAGAAGACTGTAGCTAGCTAACCGGTTAGCAAAACATGCAGTATCTCCTTAATGAAGATATTTAGTGTAGTGACTGTGTCTGGCCAATAGAGGACCCCAAAACCTGAGGGGCCCTATGCAAATGTGTGGCTTGAGCGGTGGTAAACGCTGCCACTGCACATTTCCCCCACTGCTCTTCATTCTGACCTGCACTGACATTGAGAGGATAGGCTCCTCGTATCATCAGGCTATTCTTAGCCTGAGAAGTCCCAACGGTTGCCTGTCATGTGCCGTCCCAGGCTGATGTTTGAAAGTTAAGGAGCTGCTTCTGCAAACTTAGCTATTGTACCACTTGACTTTTTCTTTTGTGCCGGATTATCATATAGCGAAATTGGAATGTATGATTGCATGGAATGACAGGAATGACAACAGAGAGCGCACAATAAACAATGTAAAACTGCATACTTTCACACTAAGGGAAAGGCATTCATATTACTGCCTACATCTGCAGCCAAATTGCTGGCCAATTGGTAAGGTCAGACTATGATTCTGAGTGGACCGGCAGGGGGAATGAACTTCAGATTATTCCTTGTCAACCCACTAAAAACATGGTAAATAAGTTTGACTTCAATGGCTAGAGGCTACTGGCAAATTCTTGTATCATCACCAACAGGTGCTTGCAGGATTTATCACTTTCATTGTGGGGACCAGGGAACTGGTCCCCACAATGTAGGGTATACCTGGACCACACACACAAACACACACACACACCAACTACGTTTTTGCCTACCCATCGCATCTAAGTCAATGGGTATCAAGGTTGTAGCACCACCAAAAAGATTTACTGATTGTAATACATTATGTCTCGTCTCTCATGTCCCATTTCTCACAGTCTGGAGCATGCATCTCACTGCACACTCTACTCAACATAACTGGGTATGTAATAAACAAAACTTTGAAACTGTGAAAATAATAATACAGAAGGAAATACGGTGCTCAAGAATCATTGTGTTCCAGGTATACCACGGCAAAAAAAAACCTGAAAACTAAAAAAAAGGCATGTAACTTTAGGCAAATAATATAAAGTCTATATGCCAAGAGTACACACAGTGCAAACAGGTATACAGCTGCAGGCATCCATGTTGTCGTCTTCTCGACCTCGGTTGGATCGAACCAGTATTGCATTGTTCTATTCGGGTTGTAGGGAGGTACGGACACTTTTCATCAGATAAGGGAATCTGCATCCCCACACTGTTTATGCTACTGTGAGTGGTCCTGTGATTGCTGACGGTAGCTGGTCTCATAACTACCCCTACAGAGTCCAGTCAGACAAGAGGAGGTTCCTATTAGGGACCGGACAGGTGCAACTGTGGATCAATAAAACCACAGCGATCGCAGCCTGTCCTACATCAGAAGTCAAACGGGCAGCAGCTGTCAGTTCTGGCTAATTTTTATTGCCATTTTCTCCCACGTTTTCGTCTTTGCGTACCCTCTCACACAATGGACCATAGGTATTGTACTCAATTCCAGGATAACTTCCTGGTTATGATGTAACTGACCATTCTGTTTGTTTCCCCTCTCTAGCAACCCACTCGGCAGCGTTGCTGTGGGTCCTGACTCCTGTAATCACCAGTTTCCAGGTTTTGTTAACCTTTTTTGTCCCCGTACTGGACTTCATGGTTCAAAAGATTTATTCTGATAAATTTCTCCATGCTTGAAAAGGAATGTTTGCGAGGAAGGAAAGAGCAGGGTTCTGTATGCTATGTATTTTTCATCTATTGAAAATGTAGCCTCTCGTCTACTGGATTTTAAAAGGGCAGAAAACATTAATTCAGATTGTGTTCCTAATACAAGCTGTACAATGTTTTCTCTCCTGTGAATATTGTCTGGTACAGTTTTGTTTGAATATGCCTGGCAACTTTTTTATTATTCAAAACCTCTTAACCTACGCAGAAAAAGCACTGTGGAAGATGGATGGACGCTGCCCGAATATAAGGGGGAGGTGTGATAATATTTTTCCCTCAGGGGGAATGTTCCATAATTAGGTCTCAGTTCCGTTCAGCCTGGTCAAATGAAACAGATAAGATCAACAGGACGAAAGTTCACAGAATTAATAATTCAAATTAGTCATTTAGACAAATCTTTCCAGTCAAACTACGAGTATGGATTTATACCGACGATAAAGCAGAAACTTACCTAAACAGGATGATGTTCTGTTTTCCCTCCCTGCCCTGTTTATTTAACCTTGCACAGAGATTATGTTGGCCGCGATTCTTCACAATGCTCGCTGATGTTTGGACCATAGTTACAGGGGCAGTCAGAGAGCATGGTTGAGGAACTTGTTTGAAGGCCATGTTCTTGTAAGAGCAGTTCAGCTGAGATCCATGTATAGTTTGGCTAGAGGCAATATTTCATAAAAAGGAGAGGAAGGAGGTTCATTGTTCTTTCTTCCCAGTCTTTAGTCTTTATATCAAATGAGTTTTCTTTTGCCCTGAAAATATGTCCGGATCCCTTGCCCACCGTGGTCCACAGCTGTTAAAATACTGCAAAATTATTGGTTTTATAACAAAAAACATTACTTCATTTGTTTACATAAAATATATACCATATTACAACCAATAGTTTTAAGAAACTGAAACCCAAATTATAGTTCTATAACTAAATTATAGTTAAAAAGTTCATTGACAAGCAGTCTCACTGGGTGCTTTTTAATTAGTAACAGCTTTACAATAATATAAAACATCAATCATTTGTGTTTAGTATCCCTTTGGGAGCCAATGACTACAATTGCAATTAATAGCAAAATGGCAAGAACAGACCTGAATGAGTCTATGCATTCTATGTGGAAGATATGTGGAGATACATTAAACATTACTTGTAAATGGACATTTGTTATGAAACCAGAAAATATGCAACATTAATAAAGAATTCAGCAAGCATCCCAAGACTTTCTGTGAGCACTGTGCAACTGAGAAAGCAGGGTCACCTGGTCTCTAGAGCACTTGGGGGTTAAGGGCCTTGCTCAAGGGTCCAGTCCTTCACTATCCTGGGAACCAATCTATTGCCCATGTTTCTCTAAGGATTACTCAAAGGGAGCCTTTGCCAAGGAAAAGACAGACTAGAAACCTAAACATTCTTTTTTCCTTTTACAATATCCATTCTACATTTGAAAGCACCCTTTGATTATTTTTGAGGAAGATAAATTCAGATTTGTACAAAATATCTTCTTTCTGTTTGACGTAATTGGGTATTTAACAATATGAGTCTTTGAATGAAAGAATTAATGAATGAAAGACCCCACAAGAAAGTTATTTCTGGCTTTGCGCGTTTCTGTTGGTTTCTAACCTCCTGATTCGGGTTAAATGTTGGGTATCACTGTGATCCTGCAAGGCTAGTTAGGGTTAAAGTACGTCTGGTCCAAGGAGTTTGGGTCCTGATCCACCTCAAATCTTGCATTTTTGACTATAGTACATTTTTAATCTAATCTATTAAAATGAACTGCCTTCAGTTGTTAAACCTTAATTTCAGATGAACACAAGTCACATGCACATTAATTGTATTAGTTTAACACAAATTATATATATATTTCCTGTTCAACTGAAACTTTAGTGAGTGTACTTTTCTAGGTTTTTGCATTGCATAAATAAACCTGACAGGTTATCTTTCCCCTGAAGGCTATCTTTGATAGTACGCTTTCCTTTCAGTCCCATGTTAATAATATCACCCGGTCTGCATATTTCAGTCTCCGTTATATCAACCGTCTTCGCCCCTCCCTAACCCCCCAGGCAGCTGCTATTCTTGTTCATAGTCTCATTACCTATCGATTGGATTATTGTAATTCCCTCCTCCTTGGTCTTCCCCAAAAAAACCTTCACAAATTACAGCTCATTCATAACTCGGCCGCTCGGATTATTACCAGGACACCATCCCTCCACAGCATCACACCCATCTTGCTGCAGCTTCACTGGCTCCCGGGCAAGTTTCGTATTGAATCCAAAACCCTTCTCTTAACGTTCAAGGCCTTTCACAACCTGGCACCTCCGTACCTGCATGATCTCCTTCACACTGCTACCCCCTCCCGCACCCTCAGAACATCTTCTTCTATGCACTAGGCTGTTCCCTCTGCCCGTCTTACCACCATGGGGTACAGGGCCTTCAGCCGCTCTGCTCCACGGCTCTGGAACTCACTCCCACCAGATATCAGAAACATCAACTCACTTTCTCTTTTTAAATCTGCCTTCAAAACTCATATTTTTAAATGAACATTTTCTCTCTAATTTTCTATTTATTTATTTAAATTATTATTACAGTTATTATAATTATTATTTTTTATGAACTGGCTTTATTCTATGTTCCCAGTATTTTATGGTTCTATGCTTTATTGTACGGTGTCCTTGGGTGCTAGAAAGGTGCCTTTTAAATAAAATGTATTATTATTATTATTATATAAAAATTGATTAATCTTTCACTGCCCCATGCTGAACTGGACATTGGCCGAAAGTGCATCACCACCTTTTACTACTTCCTCAGTTCCGATTGGACAAAAGCTTGAGTCATATTTTTCCCATTTTCCATAATTCCTTGAGTAACATAGCCCGAATCTCTTGGCGGAAATACAACGCCTCAGGAAGAAGCAGCAGCCCTGCTTTCCTTCCTCTTCCTCGGCAGAGCTGTCGGTGTGTAACATCCCGCTATGAACCATCATCTGCTATCTTTGGCTGCATTATCCTTTCAGATTATTGTAATATATTTATTAAGTTACGGTAATGTCAATCCCTCTACACCAATAACCAAAGGTGGCAATTTCAGGTCTAGAAAGTAAAAATCCAGACGATGATTTACTTTCAACCAACCAGTTGAGTACTCTGTGACTGTGACTCTTTATGCTCAACTGGTTGGTTGAAAGTAAATCATCGTCTGGACCTGAAATTGCCACCTCTGCCAAAAACATTGTATTTCATTGTAACATTTTTTTAAACCTCAAGAATGGCCCATATTTTAATATTTATTTAATGGTTTAATTAAACGTGACATACAGACTATTCATTTCCATATTTAAACGCTGTAACAAGGCTAGACGAACAGATAATAATTAAACAGAGGACATTGTATTATAATTACGGATATTAAACGACTATATATCACATGCATAATCACAGGTAGTCAACACTACATAAACCCGAATGTATGATCAGTCTAAAATCTACACCCTATTTGGCAAATGGATCTAAACACAGAAACCTCACAACGCACTTAATAACACAAAAGATATTAAGATTTTAAAATATGTCTTCAATAAAAATAAAACAAATACTACAAATTATGATATTTTCTTCTATGTGCACCTATGTCTGGCAATTTTAAAAAATGAAATGAAGCAGGTAACATCTGCTTCCCCGTGAGATCCTGGGATTCTTGCTGCTTCACTCTGCATTGTACACCACTGAGATGACAATGAACCTTTACTAGACATCATCAGGCTTCCTTTTTAGCCTCCATGCTGCTCTAATATTTAATAATTATGGTATATTTGACAATATATGCATGCATTTATTTGAAGAGCATCAGTCATTGCTCTGAACGCCCTTTCTGTAACCAGGACAACATTATCCTGAGACATTCAAACACTTTGCCATAAAACGTCGAGGGAAAAGGGAGTTTTCTCCATTTACATCATGGTATGTTTCCGATCACCCGGGACTGCGGTATTTTACGGGGGTGACACCCACCAAAAGCTTTGCTAATGAAAGAGCCTTATCTTGTCCTCTGCTAGTAATAATATTTGCACTGTTAGCAAGCGATTAGTCATTTAGCTGTAGGTACACATTATTCAGACACAAAGCATAATAATGGTCCAGAGTTATAAATATCCAGTGTTAATTGCCCGATGACTGAAGCATTGATGTCTTTCGCTCCTGTTTTCGGTATCTTCACTTGGATCTGTACGCCTTCTCCACTTCCACCTTCTCCAGCTTAGTCTGGCTTCCTGTCTCTGGGGTCTCCCACTCAGAGTGGCACGGCACCTTTAATACGGCCAGAAAACAATAAGACGGGACCTTGGAAACATTGAAAAATGGCCAATCAAAGCCCTTTTTTCAATGATTCTAGTGAAATTCTAATACAAACTAGTTTTATAAATAAAGTAGCACCCAAGACATCCACGGCCTGCTACACAATGTTACACAATTTTCAACCAAATGGGTATACAATATACATTTATCTAGCAGACACTTTTATCCAAAGTGACGTATATTTTTGTTTTTGAGAAAGCAGAGTCAGACATTATCCCTGCCCAAAGCCTCCAGAAAGAAAGCCAGAGGTGACAGTGGCAAGGAAAAACTCCCTAGTAGGAAGAAACCAGACTCAAACTCATCAACTCATCCTCCTTGATCAGAGCCCTAGCAGTGAAAGCACTCAGCCAACAATGGGATTTGAACATGCAACCTTCTGATCACAGGCGCAGGCCATGTTCGAAATCACTGAGCCACACACCTCCCCTCGGGCCTCTGTCTTAGCCTTTTTAAAACTCGTGTTTTTATAGGGACACATTTTAAAAGTTTATATACTTCCCTCTGTAGGTTCTCTTCAGAATCTTTGAAAGATTCAACAACATGTCAAAAGCAGAAGAAGGTCTCTCACCAGTCTCCAATAGCTCTACAGTAAAACTGTAACAGGTCTTCTCAGTCCTGGAAGAGGGAACATTGATAAACCCCCCTGTTCTTTATGTGTGTGGGGTCTGCATGCTCTCCTGTAGAACAAAAGCATGCAATTAGGCTGGGTTGTGTCTGCAAATGTCCTTTAATGTGCGTGTATGTGAATGTTTCCTCTGATGACCTGGCATCCTGTCCAAGGTGTATCTCTATGTCTCTTTGGACAGCCCTGACCCCAGATGAATGGAGAGAATATTTTCAGCAAATCACTTGCCACCACCACCCCCCTCCAAGGAAGCAGGGGAATGTTCTGGATGGGATGCAAGGACCCACAAACCATGGGAAATTAGGAGACACCAATTATCTTAACTGTATGCATGCAAACATCAAACAGACAGCAGGGGCAGGATTCACGCCCCCAATCCTTAAGACATGAGGCACTGTGTTGCCCATGAAATGGGATTATGGGGCCAGCAAATGCTAGAAATGTCACATTCTTTATGGTTGCTGAACCTTCTTACAAACGCAGAGAGAAGCTAACAGACACCCTATGATATAATTTAATGCTCGGTTCCTGAGTCTTGGCTCCTATTTATAGCACGAGAAGGGCCATGGAGTGACACCTGAGCTACAGAGACAGAAAGTTCTAGGATAAGCAGCAGGAGTGGAATGACATGGACTTCCCAAAACTGCTTTTAACTGGAAAGCACAGTGCTAAATACACTGATCGCACTCAGAAACTGTATTTTCTTCATTAATGCTAACATCCATAATAATGAGGGTGCATGTTTTCAACCTGTTGCCTAATGTCCGCTCATTTTCCTGAAATTCTAATACATTAAAAAATCCTTTTGTGCATTTCACCTGTGGATCCACAACTTGGGGAAAAAAAACAGAGACTACTCCACATTTTTAAAAAATCTGCATGTTTGAATCCTGGATCTGCTAGCAGAAGACTAAACAGTGAGATGCAGGCTGCTTCCAGGCTCAAAATTTCTAAGACAACAGTACACAAGAGCAAGGTAAAGCAGGGAACGACCAAAAACCAGCCAGGCAGAGGGCAGAAGCGATTTACAAACGCCAGAGATGACCACCAACTTATCCGGCAGTGCCTCATGAATCGGAAGATAACCTCAAGTGACCTTCATAAACTATGGAAACATACAATGCAGGTGTGAAATCCTAGGACAGTTTGTATCAGGCTTCTAGAAGCAGGACCGAAGTCCCATTAAGCAAGGAAGAAGCCCTTCATCAAAGAGAAATAGAGAAGAACCAGGCTGGAATTTGCAAAAAATGTATATTTTACACAGGCACATACCCATAAATTGGGAAATGAGTGAAAATTGTGCTGTGGTCTCTTGATCCATACCGAAACCATTTTGCACTTTCGATAACATGACACTACCATAAATAAATTCAAAATACTAACCATCATCTAAGAGCTCTTCCAAATGTTTAGAATTTATAAAAATAAAGTATTGTTCTACTTCCTAGTTTTATGCCAGATAAGACCACTCGATCACCGTTAACCTAAAGCATGACCTACATGTTAAAACCGTTAACGTCCAAAAAGATTGGACGTTCACAAAAATTACGTGTAGGGGTAGTTTATTCCATTCTTGTGCGCATGAACAGCACATGTGCCAAGTCTTCCTGCCGAATATTTCCATCCTGCGCAATCAATGATCTTGTTTGGAAGTTATTATTACTAGCAGAAGACAGGGTATACAAGTATTTTTAAAATTTGATTTGTTCATCAGAAACATTAACTGAAATGTCATCTACTTTGTTTTAAAGCACACAATAAGGGAAAATTATTGCTGAGTAATTAATCGGAAAACAATACTAGGCCTATATCGTTTTAAAGAATCATATCAATATAGCTATACAATGCTCGCTAGCTACACTGGAACAATTGTGTGTATAACACAGTTAACAAATCGTCAAACTTTCACAGATTAACAGTGGATAATCCTATTAACAGCATGTTGAAATTCCCAGTTTATAAATGGGCACAAGCTCCCCCGCCGGAATACCGCGGGAAACAGCGGTCGTTGAGGGATCAGTCAGATGTCATATGATTTATCATGGAGGGACGGTGTTGAATAGACCGGTGCTTTTATGGAGGATACTGACAGTAATTAATATCCGAAATATTAAACTGATAAGTAAGACTATGATGAAATGTCCCGTGTCCTCAGCGAGGACTGCGGCCGTAGGAAGAGGGACGGTCGACTTTCTGGTAGGAAGAGAAGCATAGTTTCGCTGATGAATGTAAGCCGAATACAAGAAACATATCATTCTTTAACAGTTGGTTTTATTACTAACTTTTCTACCCTCAAATTGTAGCTATAACTGCTGGGTCTATATTTGACGTGTTACGAATATCACAACTGGAGATCTGTATGCGCGCGCGCCAGTGTGACACGCTTATGTATAATGCATACTTTATCCATGCAATCATTGTTTTTCTTTTAAAGCAAAGTACACTACGGGAACGGGTGTCACAAAGGGGGTTAAAATATAAACCGCATTATTTTCCACTGCAGCCTTAAAAAAAAAATAAGTTGAAGGCGATTAAGGGACTTCCTTCCTTTCCCAAATCTCTGTCTCCGGGCTGGGCGTTTATAAAAACGGGCACACGGTCCCAGCAAGGAGAACTTCCCAAACTGGGATCTAAAGCTTACTTGTTAATTAAAAACAAAGTCGCAACTATCGATCTGAAGAAATTAGCTTGAGAGAAGATCATGAAGGCTTTTCTTATACTGCTGCTGGCCGCAGGCTGTGTGTGCCTGGCTGAAGCTGCCGGTACGTATAACTGTTCCTGCGACGGGGACGTCTGCTTCTCCGCGGTGGCCGAGCCGACCGACTACGAGGCATCTCTGAAAGCCTGCCGACAGAGGAGTGCGGTCCTGGCCGCGGTGCGAGCGCGGCAGTCCAGCCAAGTCATCGCTCATCTCTTAGAAAATGTTAAGGGCGAGTTTTGGATCGGCCTGGAGTTACAGGACTCCGTGTGCTCCGACTTATCGTCCGAAATGAGGGGCTACAACTGGGCAACAGGGGGCAACAGCACGGACTTCACGAACTGGAGGGACAGCCGCAGGACGTGTGCGCCGCGGTGCGTCTCCGTTTCCAGTGACCTTAAGTGGACGGAGAGACATTGCAGCGGGAGGATAGATGGGTATATATGCCAAGGCGGGCTGGGTAGCACCTGCGGCCGTTTGGAGGAACAGCCTAATGGGGTTGCTCTGTACAACACCAGTTACCATGCAAATAAAGCGGTTTGTTCTGTCGACGCGGGCAGCGTCGCCGTGAGCGTCCCATCAGGGAATAAATACATCTGCGACGGCAAGGATTGGGTTCAAGCACCATGGAGCTGCGAAGTTAACAAGGGCGGCTGCGATTTTGAATGCGTTACACATGATGGCAGTCAGTGTGTCTGCCCCAGTGGAAAAACGGTCGGGGGAAACGGTGTCAGCTGCGTGGATGACCCGCGAGACCCCTGCTTTTCCTTATCGTGTGATCACTTCTGCACCCCCGAGTCCGGCTGCGGCTGCCGACAAGGATACGAGCTTGCAGAGGACGGGAAGCTATGCAGGGACATTGACGAGTGCAGCGACAGCAGGCTTTGTAGTGACGGACTGTGCGTCAACACACCGGGCTACTTTACTTGCACCTGCCACTCCGGTTTTGAGATGTCCGATAATAAGTGCGTTGACATTGATGAATGTCTGTCAAATCCGTGCGATCACGAATGCCTTAACACACGTGGTAGCTTCAGCTGTTCGTGCTTTGAAGACTTTATAAAAGTCGATGAGCTGTCTTGTAAATACCACTGCCCGAAGGAGGAATGCCCTGCGAAGTGCGATCCGAACAACGAAATGCAGTGTTACTGTCCGGAGGGATTTATCGCCGAGCCAAGAGACACAGGCACCGTCTGCGTAGACATCAACGAGTGTTTGCAAAATGAGTGCGAGCAGAATTGTGTCAACACTTACGGAAGCTACATATGCTCTTGCGAGAATGGATATTATCTGGAGGATGGATTTAAATGCAAGAAACAAGACGTAGGGGTGTACGACTTTACAACTCCAACTCCACCGCCTCCGGGAAATAAAACTTCGTCGGTGTCACCCGGCGGTTTGTTTGCCATTATAGTGTGCGTTGTGGTGATGGTCTTGCTGGCGGTATTACTCTTGCACCTTAAAATGAACTCCAAATGGATTTTCAGAGGTATCCGTAAAAACAACAGCGAAGATATGAAGAACCTTCAGCAAGTGACAGCTGAGAAAGACAATATGCCACTTCCTGACAGACATTTACCACTGAACACGTGCTAGCACGTGGGGCTTAACCTTATTTGTTTACTTTTTGCCAGATGAAGGGTCTGTTTAAAGGGATCTGAATATTTTGTAATATAAATGATTAAAAAAATTATAATATTGTGTTTGCACTTTTGGTGTTTTTGGTCAAAATGACTGTTCGATGAGCATGACTTTGAGGTACTTAAGCTAACTGTCCTTTGAAATGAATGTAATTATTTGGTTGGTAGACGTGCACACCTGTGCGTGATCACGACTCTGAGTTGGGAACTAGTGGGAGAGAAAGACATTTCCCGTTACGTCACCAACCAAACGTAGCCTATTTTAAAGTTTCACGTGTTTATATTCCGTATAACTATTGTGCTGCTGCTACATCTGAAAGCCACAAAACGGTTTGGATGTCCATTGTTCAGAGACATTGTGAAGAAGTATCATTTATGCTGTAAAATAAACATCTGATGGTCTTGTAGATGTCATCAGTTGTGCCTCACTATGCCCATTTATAATAAAAACTGTTCTTTGGCCTGTTGATTACTTGAATTTTTTTCCTGGTGATTTCACTAAGTTTTATTTCGTACTTTAATTGTTTATCAGTTCAGACCATAATAAAACACTCACTGCAGAGCCGGTCAATACTATAAGCCAGGGCATTTCAGATCTGCCCCTTGATCCCAAATCCAGCACTTGTTTTCAGTTCTCCCAGGTAGTTAGTTTAATAATTACTGATTCTGATTGGCCACACAATACTGAGACAGATACTGATTGGCATTATGTAACTGACATTGATGATCTGATTGGAAATGTGAGACACAGCATTTATCACAAAACCAAAGGCACTGGAAGGCTTATCATAAACCAAAATTGCCACTTTGCCCTGGGCATGACTCACATCTACAGGCTTCAGTCAGCAATCATAAAAAACACTGTTATTCAAGTATTGGCAAAGCTGTGGAAATGAAGATGTTGTGGGAAAAGCCTGAATTCATCAGCAGTTTAGGTTAGAGCCAGGGGCATCACTAGGTTTTAATGCACACGATATGAACAAACGTAGCGCATGAGCACAAAATTTCACAAATAGAAAACAAAGACTGAGAAATTGCTTTTCAACTTTTTTGGACATCTTAGGCCACCAGTAGATTTGTTTTTTTATTTCAGTCTGTTTTTTAATACAGTACAACAACAAAACACAGGAAATGTGTTTGCTGCATTAACAACAAGAAAAAAACTGAAAATAAAGTACATAATTTTTGTGGCTGCAATCACCAGTTACTTGGTGGGTGGAAGCATCAAAGAATGCCGTCTGTTTTTACGAGTGGCAAATCGGTCAATCACTCTGTTGTGACTCAGATGCTGAAGCGTGTCTCGCAGAGTTATTTAAACGGTTTGGCGAAATTTCTGTTCGTACCCCAGGGGGTTAATTACATGGGACTCTCTGCTGTTAGCTGGAGCTAACTAATTGTTATTACCAGCAGTGATGAAGACTTACTTTCTTGAAAAACTTGCGTATAGGCATGTTGTCTTGCTGTGTGCAGCATATACGCTAATGTGTCCGCAGGTGTAGATGCAGCGGAGTGTAAAGTAGCAGTGAAAACGTGGACTGGATTTTCAGTAATGTGGGCGTTCCCTGTGAACAACTGGAACGGATTGGATAACGAAGCACTGACGCTACCTTAACACTGTAAAGTGAAAGGAACCAACAGATTTATGATCATATTCAAGTGAATAGTGACAGGTTTATATTATTATTTATTTAAACTCATATTCCTGCGTCTTTATATTGAATTTGTCTGCAATTTTTGTAGTTTTTTTGTAAAAAAAAAACAAAAAAAAAAACACCAAATTATTTAGGGGGGCTTAAGAATATTTTAGGGAGGCTTCAGCCACCCTAAAATAGACCTAACGACGCCACTGGTTAGAGCACAACAAAAATGTGAAACCAATGTGAAGGCTTGTCAAGGACTGAACTGAAGGACCCCATATTCAGCCTATATTATTATTATTATTTGCATCTTTGATGACTGAGTTTAAATTCTAAGTATTACATAAGTTCATTTATTTAATCATTTGCATGTCACTAGGATGTAGATTACATTTTTGTGTTATAAGGTCTACGTTAAAATTACATACGATTAATTTAAAAAATCATATTATGGTTGAATCATATTAAAATTTGAAAATATGTGTAGGTTTATTCTCTATATGCGTTAAAAAACAAAACAATCCCACAAGTCACGTATGCCTGTCACCGTTGAGGACCTCCTCTAACGACTACTCGTGAGCTTACAGCGACCTCTGGTGGCCAGTAGTTATACTTAACCTAGTTTATCACGGAGATTCCCTTCCGTAACAGGCATAGATAGAAATTATGCCCCCCCTAACAAAATGTCAACTTGACCCCCCCAACTAGGACTACCACTTTCAATCTACAGAAATACACCCCTAAAAAGGGTAGTCAACAATTAAATCAGAATCCACGTACAAAGAATACCCAGACCCCAAGATTTCTTGCATAGCTGGATAACTTGGAGGATAAGTAGCAGTAACTCTGGTTTTTTGATATCACGATGCTGATTAATCTTCTTAGTGGGATACATCACCACGGTAGCTATATTAGCAAAACTGCTCCAGGAGAGGTTACCTTTTAGGATCACTGATCTCAAACAGTGCCTGGATTGGGATAAGTCAGCACATTCTTGGTTTCTACCTGACGTAAAAAATGGGCTTTCCTAAACTTTCAAAATGGGTTATCCATGAGAATCCTGTGACTGCGGTCAAGTTATATTCGATCCGTCTTCTGGCTGTAATGCTTAAGTCATCTGATACCACATTTATTCCATCCTTTATGCCACTGCATAATTTATTATTATTTACATACCCAATGAAACCCTCCTTTATCACATGCTGTCTGTGTGTCACATTATTATACCAGTTCTTGGTTTTGCAGACCCCCTGCAACTGCTCTATGGACTGTCAGCCATAATGACAAGCCTGGTCTCCACTAATCAGCATGTATTATACATTTTACTGCTGGAATCACAAATGAAAGCATAGCAGTAGGATTAGTAGTAGCTGCCTAACTAGGACATACATTTCGTTTCACCCAGTTTTTCACGCGGATGGTCACAAGTTCCTACTGTCGCATCGCTTCTTTTAGGTCGAAAGGATTCAGCGATTGACCGGTAGGGGGCAATATTCCTCAACAATAAAGATTCTTTCGGAAACCAATACGCATGCAGGCTTTCACTAAAGCCCATCCTACGGCATCGTTTCTTGCTATTCATTTACACTGCGTTGCAGGCTTCGCTAAACCTGTAAGGAATTCCTTAATCTACACTATTTTTAAGTAAATAAGTAGTAATTTAGCAGAATGTAATGAAAATGACATTTTGAGAAATTAAGTATCGCTAATTGCATGTTTTATTAATAAATGAATGGATAAGCTGCATCTATCGGATGCAAAGGGTGGATTTCGGTTCAAATATAATTTTTGTATTTTTGCAAAATTTATATATAGCCTGTAAAAGTAACAACGTCGCTGAGGCCAAATGCTACTTCCACATTTCGTAAGCGAGATACTGTCGGTACAAATTGCTTAATAACGACCACAGCAGAAGAAGGATATCCTGAATTAGCCTACTCATCTGGATTGGTTTAGTAATCCGTTTCAGTGCCGTGAATTCTGCTGATGTCAAACCAGTATATAAATTTTAATTGCGTCAGCTTCAGTTGATAAACATATCTGGCATGCAAAATTTCGGGAATTATGTCTCGTTGTTAATTCTACGCTCTCAAACTACCTTCCACCGTAAAAAAAAAAAATAGGCCTAATACCAAACATTGCTCATGCACATCCCTGGTGCATCCATCCATTTTCCAAACCGCTTAGTTAAATAATGTTTCTTTATTGTCAGATGCTGTGAGATTGAAAAGTTTTAAAGTCTGCCCCCATCAACTTGTTTACTTACACAAATAATCACTTGACAAGAAACTCTAATTAGGCCTACCCAAATATAACGGGAAAAAGATCTTCCGGTCCTGATGTATAATTTTTATTTTGGATTATGTTTCAAATAAGACCTGAAACCCAATGTAAAGCACAGCCTGCTACATGAAACAACATAAGCAACTCAATCGCATTACGTATTTACCTGGGGTGCCACAGATGCAATGGTACGATATTTATTTCATTGGCCTACACATCGGCACTCTCTGCGTTTGTGTACAGCTTGGACACATTCATAGATCCCCATGCGCCTTTTATAAAATTGGAAAACACTGAAGTCGCGGTGGTGAATACCTCCGATGCGCGTTCCACCCCATAGTCATGCCCGCGCCTACGCTCGTTCCCGTCGACGCCGGTGCGTTTCGTTGGATAAGAGACGGCGTGTGGAAGAGCGCAGCTTACAGAGAAGAGCGGGTTTCACAATTATAATTTCGTATTCTCGCAAGACTTTCTGCAGGTGTGCGTAGATGCGCAACGTTGTCATTAGAAGCACTGCATTGTTTGGTAGGAGGCCACTGTGAAGCTGAACCTGTATCCGATGTGACACAGCGGCGTATTTCGGGACGGGCACCCAATTTACCGTGGTAAAAGGATGAAACGTAAGATCACTCTGGTTCAGTAGGCCGTACATATTAACGGGACGAAAGGAAATGCGTCTCAGTCTGGCATCATTGTTTCGTGTCGGGGTGCCCAGAAGAAAATAGGGGGACGCGCTTTGCGAAAATGGTCCTGGTTATTCATTTTAAAATACACCGTCCCGCATTTTCTTCCAGAGCGCCGTGCTTCCATGAATTGCGCCGGTAGAAGATGTATCACCATGTAATAAGATCTAGGTGTGGAGATCCGTTATCGTACAGATGCTTTACAGTCTGCCGCAAACTGCTGATGCTTTTAATCTTTAATCTACAGCCGCAGTCCGGTTTCTCAGACTTCACCGTAGGTACGATCTCCGCTCCTTCATCCGACGTAGATCTCAGTTATATAAATAGACGCCCGATAGCCCTGCATTTTGCTATGTTTGAGTTACTGCCGTTCAGATCGTGCAGCTTCTGGATATGTATTTGTTAATGTGATGTAAAATATGTACCTGTACCATAAATGCACTTTAGTAAAAGTGCCTGTGAATGTTACCTTTGGTTATTGCATGCATATACTGAATCACATGAATGCAGTTCCTAACGACATGAGCTTGGAAACAAAATTAGAAACCGGAGAATAGCATTTTAAAGCAGACTGTGGTCTGTGAGGTTGGCTGCCGAAAATATTATTTTAAAAAACTGTCAGTAGTTATTCTGTCAGATAGCGCTGTTCTCCTTTTCTTACCTTGCCTACTTTCGCCTGATCTCTGTGGCTCTCTCAGATCAACAGTTCTGCGTGGATCCCGGTTACCCTGATCACGGCAGCCGACTCCCAGCCTCGGGGGTCTTTTTCGAGAATGACCTGGCCCGGTTCTCTTGCGAAGAGGGCTTTCGACTCAAGGGCCCGGCCAAGATGGCCTGTACGAGGCTTTCTAATGGCTCCATTGGCTGGAAGCCAAACGTGAAGCCGGTGTGTCTCCCCGAAGGTACCCGTATTTATCTTCCTACGTACAAACCCGTGTAAAAATATTTCCGTTCCTCTGTGTTTAGAGCAGAAAACAGGTGCCCATCCCTGTTAGTGTGATTTTCCGAATGTGTAGTTAAAGCGCTGATAAAACGTAGGATAATATTCATCTTTAAAATTTTCTATACATTCATCTGGGGGCGGGGCTATCCCAGACAGCATAGGATGCAAGGCTGCCATGCACGCGAAATAAGATGCTCTTCCATCACAGGGCACGTGCACATACAGGGCACATCACTCCCAGCTCTGAGCAGTAACGTGGACTGTGGATCCCATAGGACCAGACTGGGAAATACTGGTGTAAAGCAACAGTGATGCCTTCTGATGCACTATGTCATCCCTGCTTAGATTTTATAATTATGTTATTTTTTCATATTTTCTCATCATCATGTGATATGATCATTATGGTACACAATGTTTATCAACACTATAAAAGGTTAAGGCAGATTTATGACACTGACACTCCAAATATTCAACTTCATGACCCCAGAAATTTTCACCTGAAACACAGATAAATGACACTTATGCTTAATGGTGAGGAACAGAATATTAGGGTGTATAATCAACCAACAAGATCAAGTACTTTACCTTACTGATGCCTGAAATGCAGACTGCAAACATACAGGTGGCAGGTTTTTACTGAATAGTTCATGGCTTCTTGTGGGAATTTAGCCCGAGGTGCATTGGTCATCTTTCTTTACCAGACATCTGACGACTCTAATCTTTACCTTCATGTTTTTGTGGATTTTTCTCTGGAAAATTCCATCTAGCTGGATGTCCCTCAGCTTAGCAAATCTCTTCACTCCCGAAATGAAGATTTTCTGAGATGAATTATTGCTCTTCTGCTCCCTTCTGTTTTCTTTAGCACACCATGCATTTTTCAGTTCTGGGAGAAGCAATTCCGCTGTTTTTCTTCTTTTTCATGGTTCCTGTTCTTCTTATGTCCATTTCAGATTGTATGGTTCCATACGTGGATGATGCTGATGTTGTAAATAAGACCTACAGACCTGGGGACCAGCTGGTTGTTAGTTGCCATGGAGGATATCAGATTCGTTACCCGGATGCAGACACTGTACAGTCAGTCTGTCAGGATGATGGAAGCTGGGCTAACCTACCAGTCTGTCAAGGTACAGTTATACTATATGTCCTTAACCTTCACAGACTTATTTTTTCCCACTCTGGGGAAGTCTACACAAGTCTACACAAGCAATCTCACATCATCATCATCGTCGATGACTCTCGCTGCCTCCTCCTCACCCTCAGGCTGTCTGCGGCCCATGATCCCTCCTCACAGCTACGTGAACCTCACCGAGACGGAGTTCTCCATCCCGGTGGGGAAGGTGGTTCACTACCAGTGTTTCCCAGGCTACAAGCTGGATGGTGCTGATCTGCTGGAGTGCATGTACAGCCTCATGTGGTCCAGTCCACCACCCCGCTGCCTGGAGGTGGAAGGTGAAGTAGCCACAGTCCTGTCTGCTTGTCAGGTCGTCCAGCACACTTACTGTAGGCGTCAGGGCTGAGCTTTAGGCTCCTAAAAAATGCTACACATTTACAAACCTACATATCTTCATATCTCATCTACAGACCTTCACATTGACACACATTTAACTCTTCACATGTATACACCTTTTCATCAACACAACTTTATGTCTTTCCATCTATGCAGTTTCAAGAGGCTATGTATGAGTTAGTTTCATAGTAAATGGTATCTATGAATAAAGCATATAATAAACTGTTTTACCTTATATGGTTTGAGCTGCGGGCGACATAGTGGTTAGCTCTGTTGTCTCTGGGACTGAGGTCTCTGCCCTGGCCCCATATGTGTGGAGTTTGCATGTTCTCCCTGTGCTGTCAGGTGGTTTCTTCTTCAAGGTGGTGCAGTGGTTAGCACTGTTGACTCACATCCTGAGGATTGTGGGTTTGCATCCCACCCCTATTTTGAGTTTGTAGATTTAGCCTGTTCTCCCTGTGTTGTTGTTGAGTATCTCCTGCAGCCCCAAGACATATAGTTATGTGAACTGGCTTTTTAAAATAATTACCCATGTCCCGTGCTGCATGTTGCTTGGGATATGATTAGGGTTGCACAATATCACATCATGATATAATTGCGATTATATGACGCATGCACAATTACTTTAGATGTGGGGTGTAAACATTTATCCAGACCCTGGCTTTTTGGTACTTTATGGACGTTTATGAATGCCTACAATTTGTTAAGTAGATTACGAGTACACATAAAATATTAATGAGAGGCGTATTGTGACGCCTAAAAGTTAGTAATCTATATAAATTCGGCATATCTTTTGAATCGGTGCTCTTGTCTGTGTTTGGCCAGCAGATGTTGCTTGTTATCCTGTTCTCTCCTCTGTCTTGTAGCCCTTAGTCCCTAATTTTCCTGCTTTTGTTCTGTTCTTCAGTTAGTCAGTTTAGCTGTTACTTCGTGTTTGTAGCTGTGGTTGATTCTCAGGCTAGTTCCCTGTTTTGTTCTCTTCCTTAGTTTTGTTTGTTTGTACTTTTAGTTATTATTCCTGTTTTGTTCTTGACCTTTCATGGTCCCTTTATTTTCTGGTTCCTCCCTTTTATATTCTGTTTTGTTAATAAACCTTGTTTGTTGTGAGCCACTCTATGGATCATCCCTCTTTTCCCTCTGTCATCATGCGTCTTTGTAACAATCCTTATGTTATTAAATTCGGTTAGTGGAGCATGCCACACAATTCTGTTTTAGTATACCTTGGAAGTGATAAGCACTGAAGTCACTCTGAAGAAGGGGACAGTTCAACAGCCATAACATCTTTTAAAAGAGGAGATATTGTGCATAAACAAGACGGAAAAAAAACCGTCGACGGTGTGGTGGTACTTTTTGCAGTCTAAAGTTGACATGTTTATTAAACACAAAATATGATACTGTGAAAAGGTGATGGCTGGGTGTTGCTTGCAAGAATATCCAACTACAGGAACACGTGACTACGAAAAGGACACAGTTCTAAAAATATGGAAAGATTTCTGCTTGCGTTGCACTCAGCTTGTTGCAAGTGTCCCCAAGGTGGTTTGGAAATCTAACAAACATATTGCAGGCGTGACTGTTGGGTGAGGCGGGTGTTGCAAAAGCCACAAAATATTGTGGGGCTCTGAGCCATTTCCGGAAGTCTTGAACAGCAAGCCAGGATGGGGGTTATTTTTACAAAAAAATAATAATAAAAGTCCTTTGAGCTAGAGATGTGTTACTCAGATGCGTTATTTGAAATGCCAGGTCGGATTTAAAAATATCATTGTAAAAGCAGGATGGCTTTTCCTTAACTTGCAATGCAGAAAGATTCTGAAGCAAGCAATCCTTTAAAACGGTTTTGTTTCCAGTGTGTAGTCTGCCCCCCATGGTGGAGCATGGCGACTACGTGTGCCACCCCCAGCCCTGCGATGGCTACATCCACGGAACCGTAGTCGAGTTTTTCTGTGACCCAGGCTACACCCTTGCGAATGACTACAGGTATATAACCTGCCAGTTTGGACAGTGGTTCCCTCACATTCAGGTCTACTGCGTCAAAACAGGTAGGTGCACAGAGTGTGGCCACACCACTATGTCTGTGTTGTAACTGGGAAGAGCCGGTCATCCCCTCTGTTTCCCCCACAACGCAGAAACCTCCTGGCCAAACACTCCGGAGACTCTGACGACGTGGAAGCTGATCTCCATCACAGCCTCCAGTGTGCTGCTGGCCCTGTTGCTGGTCGTCTTAGTGAAGGCGTTCCAGTTCAAGTGCAAGACGCACCGGCAGTTGAGGTATGACAGCCCACATTTGCGTGAGTGCCTGGTGGCAATGGAGCGGCACTCAATGCTGCTGCTCTGCATCCTCAGGGATCAGCGCCGGAATTCTGGCTGCCCCGACTTCCTGGTGGTGGATGGGGTTCCTGTGCTGCTCCCCACGTATGACGAAGCGGTCGGCAGCGATGCCAATCTGCCCCCTAACTTCGAGCCCCCTGCCCGTGCTGGCCACGCTCCCTACCTGCACCCCCAGGAACAGGGACCTCCAGCGTATCCCGGCCATGCCCAGGGACACAGAGTGACAGGCCGGGACACCACTGAATATGAGACGTGCGAGAGCCTTTCAGATTCCACAGAATATCTCCAAAGCGTGTGCCCCTCGTCCGTGTTCACAGGGGGGCAGAGCAACTTGTCAGACAGGACCAACCCTGTGGTCTCACCGTCGGGGGACACGACGTCCACGAGCCCCAGTATCGATATAGCTGACGGTACATTGTGCAACTACAAATACATGATGGAAATATTACAATCAAGTGCTGGTTATGATCATCCGAGAACATTTTTTATATGTACCCTAATCTATATAGTTCTAAATAACTAGTCCCCAGCTTAAGTCTCACAGCATGGACTGTATTTCCATTGTCCTGATAATGCTTATTTTGTTTTTACTTTTCAGGAATGCCTCTGGTAGAGGATGGATGTGAAGACTGCTGATGAAATCTGCCACTTGGTAGAAAAAATACATATGAGAAAGATTTTTACATGTGGAAGATGAACTGAAGATACTGTTCCTTTGCATTACTACTCATTAAAATCCCGGGAAATCTCTCTTTTTTTTAAAAAAGGAGAGGTGGATCTCTTTCTTTTTGAGTGTGCATGGCTGTACACATCTCCAGTCAGCATCTGTATGTTTTTTTTTTGTTTGTTTCTGTTCTTGTCAAACCTAAAGCGACACTGGGAAAATCGGACTGTACCTTATGCCCAAGCAGACAGAGACCCAGCTGACATTTTCTGTGCTTGTCTCTGACTGGTTTCCAGTCCTCAGATCTCTGGTCATACGTTCTGGATCATTATCCAAATTAACTTAGGTGAGAGAACTAACCTGTTCAGCAGAGACTGAACAGGGATATGATCTTGATACCAGCGGGTGATTAACCGGTTACCTGCCAGTGGTTTGCCGGTGAATGGTAGACATGTGGGGGACTAAGCAATAAGTAAATAAGGAGATGATAAAAGTTTACGGGGGTGAGGATCATCAACAGGAACTGGGAAAACAAGACGAAAGGGAGCGGACAGTCCTGCTGACTCAGGACATAATGTCCATTGTGATCCTTGTTAATTACTCTCCTTGTGAGCTGTGTGCTAACTGAGAGTTGTCTTTAATTTCTGTCAGTCCTTTGTAGACTCTTCAAACAACATCCAGAGTTTCTGATATAGCACCTTCCCCCACATACGCGTTACACAACTGGAGAAACGCCATCAGCAAACATACTGGCAGTTCATCTGAATGGCTGATCTTAAAACTCTGGGTGAAAAACGATGTCCTGAGTTGGGTGTACGAGGGAAAAATGCTGGGTGGCTAAGGCTAACTGGGAGCCGGTTCCCACCCCCACAGGTATGCTGGTAAATCAAACAGGTGTGTGCATGTTAAAGGGAGGAACATTCACTTTATAAGCCAAGTCACTCAGTTGTTTTCCAGGTGGTTTCTGTATATATTTAGCTAGGCCTGTATTCACTGAATTACAATGAGCTGATGAATTAAGGTGACAGAGAGGCAGGAGAATCTTATGGATCGCCAGGCTACTTCCAGTGTCACTCCAAATAGCACTGAGAACGTGATTGGGATGCACACAGGTGGAATAAGGCGTCACCAAAAACATCTCCAGCGTTTCACAGTTAAGTTAAATGTTATTTCAGACAAAGCCCTCTGTACATCAGTTTAGGGCAGGCTTAAGGGGCTTGTGTGTAATTTGGGGATTAATTCTGTGTGTATGTGACCCAGGAAATATGATTTATTGTTTTGAATTGTTTTTTTTTTTTTATCACATTGTGGACGAGAATGTTGAACGCTGAACGGGTGGGAACGGGTCCACATGACCAATGTCATATAATCTTGTATAATCCTTCCCGGCTCAGGATGTCACTGCAACAGCTTCCTGTCACATTTTGGATACCAAGTAAGTGTTTTGAAAACTGCAGCTAAGATGTAGGACGCTGACTATCGCAAAATCTTCACTTAATAATGAAAAACAATATAATATTACTCAGAAGGGATTGAGAAAAAAAAACTATAATTTATTATTGTACTATACATGGATTGATGGACTAAGATCCTGGTATGAGTAGGAAAAAGTATCCAGAAAAAAGAAGTTTGTGAATGTTAAAAAAAATCTAAGCTGTGCAAGTCACCTGATTTCCAGTTAGAAATGGAGAGAAAGTTAATAGAGACAAAAAACCAAAAATATCAGTGGTCATCTTTGCTGTTTAATAAAAGCAATATTAAAGTGAATTCTGGGAAATACCACGCTGTGATTCTTTGGCCCTGTTTCTAAGCCACTGCGATCCATCTGTCTGACTCAAACCGTCTCTGAGGACACTGCCCCATGTTACACTTCACAACCCCAGAAGAATTAATGTTAGCATTCTGGAAGTTTTCCAAGAGGAAGTCGCTGCTCATCCGGTATCAGAGGCTACCCCGCTGACCGTTACACACAGGGAAGATTTCCGCATCCTTGTCCTTCTGCTGACTTCTCTGACTGGTCGTTTTCCGCTTAAGACTCAGCCATTGGTTCCTCATCGGTGAACAGGCTGCTTCCTTATCCCTTCCACGCCGTGGGACTTGTCAATACTACTTTCCAAACAACAACAGAAAGCAGGTTAATTCAATGTGGTGTAATATATGACGTATTTTTCCATCAATGCTTGTCCACTCGGACGTAGCCCATCCCATAATGCACTTGGACAGGGGGCCAGCAAACAACACAGGATGTGTACACTTGTACTCTCTGGGAGAAAATCATTTGTAAAATAATGAATAAACTGTAAATAAAGCTGAATCGACCCCCGGTAATCCTGAGCTAGTCCGAGTGGCCATGCTTGCCCATTTATTTAAGTTATTAATCAGAAATAGTGCGACGGTGTGTGTGTGTGTATGTATGCACCTTGCAGTGAAGCTGCAGACTGTGTGTTAGGCCTCCTCCTCATCAAAAATGCAGGAGTATCACATATCAAGTCCCTCAGCCACACTGGATTCTAACACCTCCGTAATATCGCTCACCTTCAGTCATTTCTCACTAGTTACGATGCGCAAACTCTTGCTGCTCACCTTCCAAACATTATGTGGCCTGACACCCCCTTACCTCAGGGTCCTCCTGACCGCTTTCCCGCCCCCTCGCTCACCGCTGTCGTCTAGCTGTAATCTGCTCCTCGTCCCCTGCACCAGGCCTCTCACTGTGGGTGGCAGGCAGAGTTGGGAAATTCAGGTCCAGAGAGTAAAAGTCCAGACCAAGATTTTGTTTCAACCAACCAACTGAGTACAAAGAGTCACTGTCACCAGAGTGTGAATCACCCCTCCATAATTGGGGGGTACTGCCTTCATAACACTTCTATGACCATTACGGTCCCCTACCGCGTCAATATGAATAGCCACCAGGATCAATGTTAAGAGTGCAAGATGCGCCAGGGGTGTTTACTAACATGTATGTAACACACGGTCATGGTCTGGACATGTGACACAATGAGAATCAATACAGAAGATCTCATT